CAGGATTGCCTAGGAATAAAGTCTGCAATTCACATAAGTCGGCAACCAGCCAAAAACCAGGAACTCTCACCTGACAAAGTGCTCTCCTCTACAAGTCCTCCTGGTGGCCTGCTGTTCTCAAAAAATGCTGGAGATGCTTTAGCTCATGCCAGTGTTGTACCTCAAGCAGAAAATGAAACAGGATGGGTGGAATGGCTCTGAAGGAGCCATCTCTTGTGCATGTCATAAACCAGCAGAGGAATCTGGGTCACTCAAAATCACTCCCAGTCTGCAATGTGGATTTGAAACACCATCCTCAAGCTAACAGCAAAGGGAAACAAAGCTAAGGACTCAGCTCATCACGTCTCTTTCTTTTCCCCTCGTGTGAAAACCAGCCCATGGCAGCCATGTAACTGTTCCTCCTCTCAGAAAGCTGCATTTGGTCCCTTTGAATGTGCTGAACCTGATGTCAAGGAGACGACACATGTTTAAAATTAATTGCCTGTTTTCCAGACTGCAGCTGTAATAAGGCAGGTCCAGGATCTTACTTGGAAAGAGATCCTCTGAGCAGCTTGTGTGTTGGGAAATTTATTCAGAACAATGGCCTCTCTATTCTTTAGTATAGGGCCCAGTCTTGTTCTCTCTGAAATCTGTAAGAATAAGACTCAATCTTTTCAGTTTTTCTGCAGAATAGGCATGCCAGTGTAGTCTATTTATAGCCTTGAACCATTTAATTTTTCTTGCCTCCATTATCCATTTATCTGCCATCAGATCAGTCACAGTGTCACCGCTAACTAACACTTCTGCAGCCTGACCATCAGAGAGCGTTTGCAGAGAGAAGAACAGGCCGTGTCCCTCTGGGAAATGGAAATCTCTAGGTCAGAGATGAGGAATCCAGGCTATAGCTGCAACAGTAGCATGCATTGCAACTGTGATACCATGTATCACAGCTCTCTTACTTTCGTTTTTAAAAGCTAGCACAGAGACTAGTTTCAGCTTTTTAATTCTTTTTCCCCAGATGATTAAGTACTAAGGCTGGAAAACAAAAAAGGCCACCCTATATCCCTTACAGCCCAGAAAGGGGGAATATTTATTGTTAAGCTTTGAAACCCGAGTATATTCTGAACCAAAGCAAATGAAATTCACTACTAAATTTAATATCAAACTGATATACAAGCACACAAGCCACTTGGTACTCATTAGATACAAGAAGACTATCAAAATGTCAGCTATGTTTTCTTGCAAAAGGCCAGAGATTTCCTCTGTATGCAATAGGTCAGGAGCATTCTCCAGGAGAGCACCAAACACAAACACCAAGCACTGACTAAGAGCATCAAACAGCTTTCAGTTATTTTAAGTCATACAACTTAGAGTAGGTTACTAGTTACATTCTAATAAAATTATACATGTAAACAAGCTACATGGCCAATTTCACTGCTGGCATATAAGGACATGAACTTTCTCACGTAGCTATTTTGCATAATTATTTTGGAATTAAAACAACTAATAATGTCCCAGACTGAGAGAACTTCTGATATTAATACCGTCTATAAATGGCACTTCCCTTTTTGAAGAAAACCTCACAGATACTGCATTGACATCTAGCACAGTATGAGCTCTGCCAGGAGAACAGGCATGAGCAAGGAGGAGAGAGAAGACTGCTACATCACCCCACAAAACCCTGCACTAAGGATGCTCCCTGCTGCTCACACGGCCGCTCTGGACATGTTGGCAGGCACAGTGTACCCATAGGAGAAGCCTGGCAGAAGTTGCTGAAGCTTTCCTGTGGGGTACTGGGATGCTGCAGAAGGCTAAGGTGTTGTAATAATGAAATAATGAAAAGTAAACTAAAAGGGCTGACAAAATAAATAATGCAAGGAGCAGTGATTAGACTCTGAATCTCTGTACTCTGTAGCAAGCTCAATATTTAGAGTATGGTTACACGCTAAAAAGGGACTGTCCTATATTCTCCCACCTTCCCTCCTCTGCTCTCCTTTGTGCTCCTCTGGCTCCCGGTGAGCTACTGCAAGTTTCTTCAGAATGCTGTTTGAACTTAAGGTCAGGCAAATCTCAGAACTGATGCAAAAGAAAGAGGGAGCAAGAAGTGTAGGGATGTGGCCACTGGCAATTAGAGAGGCTCAGCTGTCCTGAAATAGGTGTTAGCAGTGCCCAGAGTGCTGCAGCACAAAGCACAGGCACACAGAACAATAGAGCAATGGTTAGTTAGGGAAATTAATAGGTACTTAATAGGATGACAGTGAATAAATATTCTTGAAGGGTTGTGATGTATCTGAATTTCATATTTTTATAAACCATGAATCATTTCTCCTTTGTTGGTGAATTGGCACTTCCCAAGCAGGTAAATCAAGCAGCAATGTTGCTAAAACATAAAAGGCAAGGACTTTCAAAAGTGGATGTTTAAAGTCAGGGATGAAAGGCCACACTCCAGTGCTTAAATGCATGTGTAATTCTCAGAAGTGCTCATCACCAACAGCTGACATCAATGGCAGCTGCTCTGAGCATCAAGCCTCTGAAAATAGGGCATCTGTGTTGCTGCTGGGACGTGGGGCTGGCCGTACATTTTTAAGTACTTGATCTAGATATTCTGCTCATTATTTGATTGAATGAAAAAGCTTAGAAAGCAAGAATAAGCTCCATTAGCCTTTTATGAAACAACTGATAAATTTAATTACAATTTGAAATGATTAATTCAAAATATTTAATGAAATAATTTTAGGCAACGGAGTAATGTGGAGTAATGGAGTCTTAGCTCCACCACTCTGTTGACCTTTTCAACCATTCAAAGCTGAATTATCGTAGAATTACAGAATGGTTTGGATTGGAAAGGAACTCAAAGCCCAGCCAGTCCCAATCCCCACCAGCTCAGGCTGCCCAGGGCCCCATCCAACCTGGCCTTGAGTGCCTCTAGGGAGGGGGCACCACAGCTTCTCTGGGCAGCTGTGCCAGCACCTCACCGCCCTCTGAGTAAAGAATTTCCCCCTAACATCCAATCTAAATCTCCCCTCTTTTAGTTTAAAACCATTTCCCCTTGTCCTATTACTACCTGCCCATGTAAATAGTTGGCCTCCTTCCTGTTTATAAGCTCCCTTTAAGCACTGGAAGAACACAATGAGGTCTTCCTGAGGCCTTAATAAACATTAATTATTTACCTTAATAAATGTTGTGATGGAAAGTATGTATTGGTGCTTTACATTGCAAGAGGAAGCCGTCGTTTCCTGGCAGCCTTCCATTCCTTGGGAATGGGACATTAGCCTGACATAACTCTTTTTACCACCATCTGAATCTTACGAAAACAAAGAGTATATTCTGGAGACACACACAGACGAGAGGAACAGTGCCTTGCTTTATATTTGCCATTCACTGCTTTTTTCCCATGTTCTCTTTGGATAGCAGGACTGAAAGTTGAGATGACATTCAGCTCCAACTGGGCAAGCTTAGGATGCAGTTCCTAAGACAAACCTCTCTTCCCCCAAAGAGGACCTTATGATCTCATTTCTTTCTGAGGCAGCCTGTAATTCCCAATTATTCTATTTCCCTGCAGTATCAGCTATGATCTGCTTTGCTAATGGAGCCTTGTCTGACACAGTTTTGGTGTCATCTACCTCGTCATGTAAAGAGGCCTTTGGAAATGACACCTCAAACAAGGCTGACCCAGCCACACTCGTTGCATGCCTGACTGTAAACAAACATATGGTGCAGATAAGTCTTTTTCACAGAGGAAAGAATGGTGGGGAAAACTCTATCAGCTTTGAGTTTACATACATACAATTTTACATGTAACACTTCAGCTTGTGCTCATTGTTTGTGTGGCTAGGAAGAAAGAAAGAAAGCTCGCTGCTTATCTCGGCCTGGCTGTAGATCAGTAAATCTTAAACCCTGCATCCTTTACATGGAAGATTATTGTTTACCAAAATCCCTCTGGGAGCTACAACCCAACCAGTGGGATGTCCAGAGCTGTCAGGTGTCAGTAGAGGTGGCACTTAGGGACATGGTTTAGTGGGCGTGGTTGTGATGGGTTGGCAGTTGAACCTGATGATCTGTGTAGAGTACCAAGATGATAAGACAAGAGGTAAGGCTTTAAGTTGCACCAGGGGAGGTTCAGGTTGGATATTAGGAAACATTTCTTCTCAGAAAGAGTGGTGAGGCAATGGCACAGGCTTCCCAGGGAGGTGGTGCAGTCACCATCCCTGGAGGTGTTCAAGAACTGTGTGGATGTGGCACTGAGGGATGTGGTCAGTGGGCATGATGGGGGTGGGCAGATGGTTGGACTGGGTGATCTGAGAGGTCTTTTCCAACCTTAATGATTCTATGATACTCTGACTTCAACAGCCTTTGAAACTCTGCAGACATTATTGACTAGATCACTATGGCTTATAACTGCATCTTGAACACCTGGATTTCATGGAGACACCTCCAAGAAGGGATCCCTGAATCATAGAATCCTTAGGACTGGGAAAGACCTCTAGGATCACCAAGTCCAACCACCCACCAAACCA